TGTGTCCTGTAGCCCTCCTAGTTCTCCAGATTCAGTCGATGGCTCCACTCTTTTGTGTTCTTCTTTTTCCTCACACGATGGAGTAGAAACACAGGTCTATAACTCAGTTATTTCAGCATTCTCTGAAGTGCAACATGGTGGATTGAGGTAAAGTGGAGGAGGCACTGTGAGGACTCCATCAAGCCCAGGGCAGGAGAGAATCCCCACCCCGCGCCCCCCTCCCCAAGCACAGAGCAGGGTTTCTCTTCCCCAGTGTCAATAGCCACCTCAGTGCCAGTTTGCTCTCTATTTTCAGATTTCACTCCCGCAGCCTCAGCCCCATGGAGCTTTCTTTTTCTTGAACAATGGCCTCCAAAGGCAGGAGAACAGCCCAATTGTTATGGAGATTAGAGATCTGGATTGCAAAACGCCCTGAATAAGATCCTCACTGTCAGCCCAGTTTCTTTCCATAGACTTTTCTGTCATAATCTCTTTCTGGCAGAACATTTTCTGTTTTGATACTAGAGATTCAATTACCACCCACGGTAAATAAAACAAAATAATAATTAAAAAAAAAAAAAAGCACAGAACTCACCCTAAAAACAAACATTGGCCAAACATGCCTATTTTCGGTTTCTTTGTACACTCTTGAGGGTTGATAGGAAAAAGGAATGTGCCGTTTCTTCTAAGGTTGGGTCTTCAGGTGGCGTGCTGGCCAGCTCAGTGCTGGTTCTCCTCCATGGGGTGGATAAAACATGGACTCTTTGAAAGAAATAAGAATTTTCAAGAGAAAACAGGATCATGTGCCAAACCCTGGATCAGTCATGGGTTAGGGAGCTCGGAGTCCTGCTTAGGGTTTAGGACATTCCCACTCTAGTTCAAGAGCTTGAGACCAAGCTCTTCTGTTCATCATCTATAGCAGATGTTGACTAGCCCTTCTGGAAAGGTGATTCTGCTTCTTCACGTGAACCTCTGGCTGTTGGGGGCGATAAGTGGACAGGGTTAACCAGCTCCAGGCCAACCAAGTGTCTGCCCAGTCCCTCTTGGAATGTGGAGAAGGGTGTGCCCTGCCCCTCAGCTCTGGGGTTTGAGTGTGACCATGTGGGCATCATAAAAGCAGAGGGTCTACCAAAGGGCTTCGGGCCCCAGAGTACCTGGGTGGATTAGCGCAGCCCTGGGTGTCCACAGCTCCCCCAGCTGGTGCAGCTAAGTGCCCCAGACGTGTGACTTGCTGGTTCGGGGGTGAAAGGAATCCTCTTGACCTTACAGTTTTGTGTGATCGACTAGAGTCATCTCAAGGACAAATACGAGCCCCAAAGATCTTATGCTGTGCAGATTCCTCCTGTATTTTTTTTTTGGGGGGGGGGTAGGAACACTACCTCCATTTGCTGGGGGGGCTTTAGAAGAAGATCACCTCAGGATACAAAGGGAGGAAGGGGTGATCAGCTGGTGATCGTGTTCCTTGGGGCTGCAGGTCACACAAGGGAAGTGAGCAGTGAGTGTGGCTGCTTTGTGGAGTCCCCGGGGGCTGTCGCTCTCTTGGGCCACTCACACTCCATTAGTGCCTCCCTCTGTGCGTATCCGGTGGCAGATTATGTAATGATAAAGTTACTAAAATATCTGTAGAAGTCAGCACCAGCTCAAGCGCTGGAGGAGGCGTTTCTGCCTGTGAAGTGGTTTGTTTAGGGGCCTCCTCTCCAGATCTGTTCCCCTTCGTCCCTACTGTGTTGTAAGTGGCCTGCTACATGGAATCACTGTAGCTGCCGAGTGTTAAGCCACGCTGCTGTGGGTCATCCCACAGGGCTGGGGTTTTAAGGATGTACGCGGAAGCTTTCGAAATGTGCAATTCATTCCCCAACTCCACTCCAGAGTTGCAGCTCAGCCTGTTTGTGATCCTGTCTGAACCGGGTTGTGAGTGGCTCCGCGTCACGCAAGATTATGACGAGGACATTGCCTGGACACAGGTGTGCCAGGCCAATAACAAAATAGTAACAGCTCGCATTTCTAGAATGGCCTGGTGGCTGGCTCCTCAGTCCTCACCACCAGCCATCCACGAGGTGTGTGCGTGGACGGGAGAACGGGGCCACCCCTGACCTGCTCGGGCACTAGGTGGCCAGGTGACCCGGCACTGTCCTCTCCGCCACCCAGGGAGACCCCCAAGGAAGCCATTAACAAGGTGGTCTTAAACTATAATATTCTGTCATTCTGAATATTGCCACTCCTGGGGATCTGTGGTCACCCTAAATTTTTAGGGAAGCCAGTGTCCCAGACCCTCATCCTGCTGCCCCCCCACCCCCCCAACCCCCCTCAGCGAAAAGGCGCCGTCTGGTTCTTTGGGTAAGACTCCGCCGTGTGACGGACTTCCCCAGCCGCCGCATGTTGCTAGATGAGAGAAGTCATTGCCCAGACATGGATCTGTTTAATTTAATATGATTTTCCACAAATTACAAAGCATGACTTTAAAATTGAATTTGTGCAAAATTACAGATGACCAATTCAGGTGGAAGGGAAAGGAAATCTTGTTATTCTTATTCCAGAATCTCTTCCCGATTTCCCCATTTGATTCTTTCACGCCTGGGGGGAGGGGGCATGCGGAGAGGCCCTAGAGGCCCAGCGAGGAATGGCTTGTGTTTTTCAAACTTCCTCCCTGGTCACTCAGGGCCCTCCGAGGGAGGAGCAGCCTGGCCACGTCCCGCAGAGCTCCAGCCCTTCTGTCTGTCTGTCCCATCTGTCGGAAGAGGTCTCTGCCTCCCATCTTATTACCAAAAGGGCCTAAGAAATAACTTGGAAGCCCCCAGAATGTTCTTTGTGAGGAAAGCAGAATCTGGACCCGTAAATTAGCTCTAAGATCTTGATGGTGGGTAGCGGGTGTGGACTGTTACCCTGCTCTCTTGGGGACCCAGCAAGGATGGCTGAAGTCTTGCGCCGGCTGTAGAATGGGCCAGGTGACCATAGCTCCTAACTCCCTGGAGGGTGTGCGGATGAAAGCCCTGGCTCCTGGCCCTCCGGAAGCCGTCTTCTTTCCCGTGACCTCGCCGCGCGGGTGGAGATATTTGCCGAGTATTTAACATAGGCTGGTGCTCTGCAGACACGGCAAAGGCCGGCGATCATCTCGCTGCTGTCTTGTCTTGTGCACTCGGCGGGGGTGCTGGGGTGTAGCACATGGCGTGGGTGATCCACACAGCTACCCTGTGCTCCTGATCCAGGGTGTCTCCTGCTGCCTGGCACTGAGGGCACCCTGGGTGCAGTGGTGAACTCCTTCCAGCTTTGCTCCCAGGGCAAACTGACAGCGGAACCCACACCCGCTGTTCAGAAGGTCTAATGGGAAGGGAAAACTGCTCAAGTTGAAGGGACCTTAAACTTCTCTGCTCAGTGCCCTTTATTCTACGCACAAGATACTCGGGGCCCAGGAGCTTCCAGGGTGCGTCTGAAAACGTCAAGACGTGGGGCTTCTGGCCCAGGGCTCGCTCCAGCCCTGGCACCCCTACCTTGGAGGTGACCATCAGTATCCAAGGCGCATCACATTTTTGTGTTTTCGCTTTGGGGGTGTTGGTAGGGGAGGGGTGAAAGGAAAACAGGAAGGTCGGTGGGGCAGCCTTCCAGACAGCTTCAGAGCTCCCGACGGCGTGGAGGGGAGATGGCTCAGGACCGAGCCTAAAGGGGAGGCCAGATCTCACCAGGACATTTGGTCTTGCTCTGCCTTCCAGGGCCTTGTCCGAGAGGCTCTCGTCTCCCTGGTGAGATGACTGAGCCCCTGCTTGGCCTCTGTGCCCTTTGCTTCCTCCAGTTCTAAAATGCTGCAGTTCATCCTTAAAGGAGGAGGGACTTCTTGAAAAGGCAAAAATCAAACACACACCTCAGCACCCCAACTCTGCATCCTGGATGGCGGAGGTGGGGAGTCCACAGCTGCATGGAGGCCAGCTGGACACACCCTGACCCCGGGACCCTGTGGGCAGCTGTCAGATTGAACCCCACCCATCTCACCCTTGATGAACTGGACACAGTCAGAGGCTGTGAATGGTCAGCCTCTGGCCGTTCTCGTGAACCAGCTACAAAAGGATTCCTTTGAACCGAGTTTCACCTTCCTATGTGATTTTAAGTAAATACTTCCCTGTGCTGATTTTGCCTCCAAGGCAGAGGAGACCGGCAAGCTGAAGGGGGCAGGCTGCGCTGGCAGGATGGGGGCTTGTGCTGAGTGCCAGTCCCTCGCCCCAGCTCAGCGGGCTGCTGCCAGCTTCACAGCATTCTCTCCCCGAGGGGCGTGTGGCAGTGAGGGCACAGGAGGCAGGGCCACCGGCAGGCGTCCTGGTGATGGCCACACCCTCGTCCATGCCGCCAGGGTCAGGGTCACGCATGGCAGGCTGAGGGCTGCTCTGAGAATGTCAGGCGCAGAAGCCTAGTGTCGTGCTGGGCCCCTCCATCGCTAAGGCTCCATGCCCCCTTGTGACCCTGGCCCTGGGAGAGTGTGACCACGTTCCCTGGGGATGGTGCTCCCAACAGTGTGAGTCCCTCAGGCCTGGCCTCACAGTCCGAGGACTGCAGATTTCCAAATGATGAGAGAAGGAGGAAGGGGATGGGTGGGAAATAGCCTTTTCTTGTTCAAAGATGCAGTTCTTAGAGTGACTTGGAGCTTCTGACCACCGGAGGTGAGTGCATCACAGAAAGCTAGACCAGCATGGACTGCCAGGCCCCTCACCGGGAGCACAGAGAGGTGAAGTGACTTGCCGAAGGTCACACAGCCAGCCCCCACCGTCCAGGGCTCAGCTTTCCTCCGCCCGTGCTCCCCAGCTTGAGCACATTCCTCATTCTTGGATCCAGCAAAGAGAACCTTCCAGAGCATTGCCTTCAAAACAGCACTTATGTGAACGAGGGGGCTGTTGGAACAAGATGAGGCAAACCCCAGTGTTCCTCTGAGCCTGCTCCACCCATTTTCTCATCTTTATATTACCCAAAAAAAAAGTTTCAAATAACCCAAACAGGCAGGGTCTGATCTGCAGACAGTCTGCAGGCATCCGCCCAAGAAGCTGCCGGTCGGCTCGTCCATCCTCCTTGGATTTATGTTGTGTGTGTTAAGCCTTAAATTGTTGAGACTCTGGCTGGCTGCAGTGGTATTACTGGAGGGTTGGTGCATGTTTTCAGCTCACGGAGCTGGCTCCGGGACTGGAGGTGTTGGCCCCGAATCAAGTCCAATCTCACACCTGTCTGAGACAATGAGGGCCTTGTTAGACACATCTCCCGGCAGCCGGCGCGGACTGCTTATTTTTCACGTTCAGAACAGGGAGGGAGGAAGATGTCCCGGAGAAGGGAGAGACCCAGGCCAGATTGGGAAATGCTGGGGTCAGCTGCCTCCCTGCCCTTCCCCTCTCGCCCGCCTCTCTGTCCCCCTCCCCCCAAATTATAAACTTCTCCTTATTTTTGGAAATTGAAAAACAAACAAACAATACCAACAGTAGCCCTCTATGCAGGAGAATTTCTGACTGCCAGATTAGGAACTCCAGGCCCGTTGGAGAATAAATTCACTGGCATCCCTGGGGTGGAGCCACAGAGAAGTGGAGTGCGTAGAGAAGTGGGGTGCATAGAGAAGTGGGGTGCATAGGTAGGGTGGGGTGTAGCCCCCTTTCAAGTGCTGAAACTTGAGCCCTTTGCACTGGGCCATGGGGTCTTATTGGTAAAGGTTTTCGCCTCTTGTTTTCCCTGTATCGCTGACATGGCAGGGGCTGGCACAGAAAACAAAAGGGAACTTCCCCCCAGCTCTGTATTATTCGCTGATCAAATAGAAAACAGTCCTGGCTCAGCCCATCTGTCCCCTGTCATCAGCAGGCAGAGCAGAGCCGCCTGCGGCCCTGAGTCAGGGCACCCTTGCATAGGCAGCTCCCTGGGGCCCTGAATCCAGGCAGCCACTGGGCAGGCCCTTTCCTGGGTCCAGATTGGCTCCTCCAGGCTAAAGGTTTACCATAGTTATGATCCAGCCAGAGCTGCCCACATGCCTGGCTTTTGCGGGGTGCATGATGCTGAGGGCCCTGGGATCAGGCAGGTCCTACAGTAGGGTGCCAGCAGCTGGCAGGCGCGCCTGGCGCCTCTTCTCCGTGCGTCACATCTTGGGAACCAATCCCCTGGCTCCCATCTCAGTAAGCCGGCTCTTCCCTGAGCTGACGGCTTTCGGCCACTCTGCTGGGCTTGTCCCCCAGTAAGAATTAAGCAGCCCCTGTCCTCGCCCACAAATGACTAGTTACACACTGAGCCCCACTGCTGACTCATAACGTCAGCCTGGGGCTGAGCGGGGAGAACATGCTGGCGATTTCATCTGAGACCTGGGACTCCGGAAAGGAAGTGGGGCCATCTGTTTTTCTTAGGGTGATTCCCTATGAACTCAGCCCCCTCCCCCAATTCCGTGTGCCTATCAGCACACATGCCCAGAGGGGACAGAAGGACTGAAGGCTTTTCAGAGGGAGCAGAACGAAATGACAAGGGGCCAGGGTCCCCTCTCAACTGGGTCTGAATCTCTTCCATGTGCCTTTGGTCCAGTCACTACGTGTGCAGGTCACGGACCCTCAGGGAGGCTGGGGGTGACGATGCACAACACCCCCAACCCCACTTCACCCCCGGGCTCCATGTTCATTTCACCCGCGTGCTGCCTGAACACGCCACCTCCCAGGGAACGTGGCCGAGAAAGCAGACGCCTTTCCAAGCCAGTGTGGCCCAGGAGGCCCCATACAGAAACCAGTGATGCCACCTGTCTAGAGCTTCTGGCCTCTCCTGGCATTTCCCGCTGCCCCCTGTGCTCCCCCAGGCTCTGAAAAGACCAAGAGTCAAGCAGATGAGCCAGAGGCAGACGGGGCCTGAGTGACCGTGAGCGGCTTCTTCTCACCTGCCTCCTCCTCTGGCCCCTGAACGCCGAGGTCAGCCCTCCCTGCAGCCTGGGGCCGTCGTGGCGCCCACCCAGAAACCCCTCTGCTCCTCCCTTCCCCTCCCCCAGGCTGCTTCTCTGGCCAGGACTTGTCCGTCCCCACCAAGGACCCCGACCCGCCAGCTCCATCACCCGTGCCTCCCGCATGCCCACCTCCCCAGACCCTGCCCTCCACTGTCACCAGATCTGACTCATCGCCTCCACCGTGGTGGGCTCCCGGGGAGCGGGGGCCGTGAGATCTCCCCTGGTCTGCAAAATCATCACTTCAAACCCCCGAGATGCCTTCCAGGAGTCGGCACTGCCCGCTGCCTGAAGCCCCACGCCGGGCACCGGCGCCCTCTCCTCCCCACCCGGAGCTGTGCTTCCGCGGACGGACGGGTTCTCCTAGGTGGAGGCTCCTCCAGAAGCCCAGGAGGACCTGGCTGAGGCCCCAGGGCTCGGGGCCGGGGGTCACGGGGAAGCACTTCCTCCGCCCTCAGGACAGGTCAAAACAGTCACTTGCAGATTTTCATCCCAGTTTCAAAACTCCCTGCCCCCAGCAATTTCCTTCCTCCCGAAGCGCCAGCCCTAGGGTAGGGCCCTCTGCTGCTTGCGCCCTGGATTCGCCCTTTCTCCGCCTCCCAGGGTGCCCAGTGAGGAGAGCCGATGGCCCTACCCGGGAGCCTGCACCCCACCCGGCCCCCTGCCCTCTGTGACGAGGAGGAGCCGGGGCATCTCGATGCTACTTGACCTCTGACTCCCAGCCTTGTGGCCACTAAGGCCAGAGAGAGCTGCTCCCCTCTCGCTGTCCGGACCCCCCGGACGAACTCTGCGGTCACCTGCTGTCCCCCTCACCGGCACCCGCACTCCCCAGCTGGCTCACCTGAGACCATCTTCCAAACACCTGAATTGGTTGACACCTTTAATGAGGGACTTTGAGCCCAGAGCAGGGAGTGGCCATCATCCGTGACCCCCACGTGCCCCTCCTGCCCCACTTCCCTGCTCTCCCTGGCCCGGGTTCTCCCCTCCCCCTGTGTTGCCTCCTTCCCTAAAAGCTTCCTAGGTTCTTCCTGCTTCCAGCACTTTTCAAGCGCTGTCTTCAAGCTCACGCTTTATCTTGGCGGCCTCCTGCCCCTGCTCACACAGCCTGCTTCCCACAGTGACCCGCTGGCCTGCCCAGGGTGTCAGGTGCCCCAACACCCAAACCAGGCACTGCCACCGCTCACTCTGCGCCCAGCCGGGTCCAGGGCAGGGGAAGGAGCCCCCCCTCCATCCTCCTGGGCGCAGCCACACTGCCAAGGCCCAGGCCCCCGCACGGCCGGTCACCGAGAGAGTGACACGCGCGTGTCCTGCAGGGGCCGGTCCCTGCCGCCCGCCCTGCCCCTGCCCCTCCCCCTCCCGCCACCTCCTCTCTTCCCTCGGCTCCTCGAAGCCTCTTCTGTGCAAATCCGGGGAAAGTTCTAGGCCGGGTTGTTGAGACTGGTTGGCTTTTTTTTGTAAGAAGACAGGAAGTTCCTGTTTATTGGAAAGAAAAGTGCTTCGTTTCCAAAGCCGGAGCCAAGCGGCCATAGGATGCGCCCTGGGTGCCTGCTTTCCTCCCGGGGTGGTGAACACAATGCAGAAGGGAAAGACGCAGGGAGACAGCCAGGGCGCGCGCACAAAAGAGACGTTATAATGGGCTTTTGTTGGTACTTGCATTTTCTTGTTGGAAACAGAGCAAAGACCCTGAGGTGCCGAGGTGCGGACAGAAACCCGATGTTATCTGGCCTCTGGAAGCCCTGCCTGGAGTCCGGCGGGGGGATCCAGAACGCCAGGAGCCGCAGCCGGGCTGCTCGGGACAAACTGCTCAGCACAAACGGGGCTTTTAGTCTTTCGTAAACAGCCTGTGCCCCAGGGCTCAGATCCTTCAAAAGTTTGCCTGCGTAATTGCGTTTTCACTGCTGTCTGCCCCGCGCTCATCTGTCTAATCTAGAGGTTCAGACAGCCAGGCCGAAGCCTGCGAGACTGCAGGCGCGCGCATTTAATCCACTTGAAAGACAGACGCATCGAGCTAGGCTCACTCATTATTTTAAGTGATGGGGGGTGGGGGTGGCGGGCGGCGCTTGCCATAAAAGGCTTTAAGATCCTCTGCCTGGTGCGGCCCCTGGGCAGCTGAAAGCCACAGGGAGACACGGCCACCCCGTGACCCCTCTGCCACCGCCTCGTTTCCGGAAGGCTGCCTCCCCCCTGCGACCACCCCCCAAACACGAGGTGGGTGGGGAGCAGGGTGTTGACTAGAGTTACTCATGAATTCGCAACAGCAGACGCCAGGACTTATTGGAGACTGGGGGCTGCTGGGCTGGGTTTCAAGGGAGGAGGAGACAGCCCTGGCATGAGCACCGCCCTCCCAGGCCCAGACCCGTGAGCGGCCCGAGGAGCGCGCCAGAGCGCGTCCGTCCATCCTGGGCTTGCTGCGTTTTAGAGATTCGTGGACACCAGTCCTGGTTTTGTCAGTTTCGGGCAACTGGATTGGGAAGAAAGGGCTTCTGTCGTCATCTGTCCACAAAGAACCCGAGGGTCTTTTTAGTGACTGCCCGGTCACTAACCTACGTGGGCAAAGGCAGGTGCGTGGCCCTTGCGCTCCAGCTTGCTCGGAGGGGCTGGCACGGAAGCCTCGCAGCTGGCGTATCTGCTCCATCACCCCAGATGTTGGAAGGAAACCTTAGCAGTGCTGGCAGGGATTTGCATCATCATCTAGTTCCCTCTGACTCGTGCCCGGGAAGCTCAGGGGCGGCAGGCAGCGGCCTGTTCCTTCCCAGGTGGCCAAGCTGGCGGTCAGCTCAGGAGTGAGCTCGCAGGTTTGCACCTGCGACGGTGGGGCTTGGCGCACCTGCCCCAAGCTGGGTGCCAGGCCAGGAGACGGCGTGGGGACAGAGCTCCCCTGGGTGTGGACAGAGGCGTGGCCTTCAGCCCCCCTGGGCCCTGCAGCACGCCTCATTTCCGCCCACCCTCAGTTCCATTTGTCTCTGCCCGGGCCGGGGGCTGCATTCATCTTCTCTGGGTCTTGGGGCACCTCTGCAAGTTGCATCATTTAGGCTTGTCTGGCGGTTTGACGAGGATGGTAAACCACGTGGCCAGCATGCCCATCAGGGCTGGGTGTCCTAAGGCCCCATGGGCATTTGGGCCGTATCCTTCTCCACTGGGGCTGGCCCTCCTGTCCCTGTAGGGCGTCCACATGCACTGCCAGTGGCCAACACCCGCAGAGGCCTCGTCCTCACTGACAACCAAAAGTGCCCCCAGACATGGCCCAGGGTCCCTGGAGGAGAACTCACC